AGGAAGCTTGGGCCACCTCGGTGTGGCAGCTTCCCTTCTGCTGCCCCCTGTCTGTCTTGCTTCTTTCCCTTCTGTCTATCCCCTTTCCTTATCTTTTCCTCTCTCTCAATAATTCCAAACTCCTCTTCTTGCCAAACTTATAGGCAGTGACTGACGTTGGGGTGGGATGCCCTTACTCCTGTGGGTGCCAGTTCCCGTGGGATAGAGAGTGCCATGCATAACCCTAGGTGATAAGGCGGAGTTTCCCTCAGACCCTTCATCCCCTCCCCATATCAGGCATTAGACCTGATGTTGAAAGCTGGCCCTTTTGCCCCCCCCCCCCTCCCAGCCTCCAAGGACGCAGGTAAGGTGAAGGCAGCTCAAGGTCCTTCCCAAGGGCTTTCACCCTCTGCCCACATTGCTGTCTTTCTGCTTTTTACTGTTAGTTCCAAATGAAAGACACAAACACATGAGCAGCCACATATTAAAAAGAGCGGGTAGTCACTAGTGGTGTCTGGCCCCTCACCGGAGTGCACCTCTTCTTACCAGTCTACTCTCACTCCCTGACAACTTACAACCCTCTGACAATTTACCAAGCCCCACGAAGTCACCTTCTCTTTCTCTTCCTCTTCATCCTTCATCTCTCATCTTTGTGGCTTTTCCCTTTCACTTCCCCATAGGTTCTTCAAAGCCTGGTTTGATCTCATAGAGTCAAGTTGGTTCCAGGTCAGCATTAAGCAGTGCTAACCTGATGCACAGACCTCATCTGGGTGAAAGGCTCCTTCTTCCTGGTGCTCCTGCTTTGTTTCTGGCCCACCTGCTCCTGGGACTCATTCACAGACTCCCTCTAGTCTCTCATCATATCCAGGAGCCTCACTACCCCACGCAAAGGCTCGTCTTCTCACACGTGAGCTCCTGCTTTGCTGCCACAGCCCCATGCATTTGGAATGCCTTGTATCAGATGCTCAGGCTGTCCTGGCAAAGCACCGCAGGCTGAGGCTTAAACAGCGGAGGTTTATTCTCACAGTTCTAGAGGCTGGAAGCCTGAAATCCAAGTGTCAGCAGGTTGCTCCTCCTGAGGCCTCTCTCTTTGGCTTGCAGATGGCTGCCTTCTCCCCATGTCCTCACATGGCCTTCCCTCTGTGTGTCTGTGTCCTAATCTCCCCTTCTTAAAAGGACACCAATCAGATTGGATCACAACCCATCCTGATGACCTTATTTTAACCTTAATTACCTCTTTAAAGGCCCTATCTCCAAATACAGTCACATTCTGAGGCACAAGGTGTTAGGATAGCAACACATAAAATTTGGGGAGTCACAATTCAAAACAACAATTTCCTACCCACTTTCCTTTTAGCTCATAAAAATTTATCCACAATTCTTTTTCCGGATCAGATGTTTAAATTCAGTCCTTCCTGAATCCTGTCTCCAAATAGCCACAGCAATTGTCTATAAAATGCATCTGGCAACCACTGGTGCATTTTACTGGGATCTTTCTGTCGTTTTTAAAAATCTATATTTTTTTCCCTTTTAAATTTACTTTATACTGTAGCTACATATGTCTATCTTCTCAACTAGATTAAAACTCGGAAGGGCAGAAACAGTCAAATTGTTTTGTATGAGCATAGCAATCCTCAGCACCTGGGTGGTCATATCTGGGGACCAGGACCCCTCGGAGCAGGCAAAAAGAGAGGGGACAAAGAGGGACAAGATCCAAGCACTAGCTACAGGCAGGGACTGGTAGAGCAGGTCCATGGGACTTGGAAATACCAAAGTGACCCACCAGGAAGGCTCAGGTAATCGCTGACAACACTGGGCTTCTTAAAAGTCTCAGTGAGATTCTCATCAGGGGTGCAGAGCACAGCAGTGGGGAATCCCAGGTTAGTGCCATCTAGAGTAGGCAGGCATGGGATCCCCCAGGAGACATCTGCATCCAGAAAAACAGAAAACCATCACTGAATGAGACAGGCCCTAGACCAGTGGTTGGCAAACCGCAGCTCTTGAGCCACATGCAGCTCTTTGGCCCCTTGAGTGTGGCTCTTCCACAAAACACCACGTGCGGGTGTGCACGTACAGTGCGATTGAAACTTCGTGGCCCATGCGCAGAAGTTGGTATTTGTGGAAGAGCCACACGCAAGGGGCCAAACTTGCGAGCCGCAGTTTGCCGACCACTGCCCTAGACCATGAGAGAGAGGTGAGACAGAGCCAAATGGGATCAGGAACCAATGTCAGAATCCAGGCCTGGGAGATGGGTCACCAAGGAGCACATGGGAGGCTGTATCACCACAAATCCCCAATCCGGCAAGGGGTGAGTTGTCTAGAGTAAGGTAGTACATCAGCTTCAGTCCAATCTAGAAATGGAAAGGGGAGAAATCACGTGACAAGGCAGGGCCTACAAAAGTATAAAGTGTATTGAGGCCAAAGCCATCCAAAAACAGGTTTGAATGAGTATAGCAATGGTTTATTGATTTATAAAAAACACACACACAAAAAAAAACTTGCCTTTCTTCCTCACTCTGGTCCCCATTCCTTTTGCTAAACCCAGCCTTATCTTTCATAATGAAAAGATTTCAGCTCGGCAGCTTGGCTAATTAATGTCTCAAAGGTTGGGAGGGCTTTGCTTGGCCCATTAATCAAACTCTGAGCATCGGGTTGAATGCTTCTCATCCACAGTGCCGCTCCCACCCAGGCGCTGTGTCAGAGCAGAGGGATTGTCATCGTAAAGAGCAGCGAAAGAGGGAGCATTGGTAGATGGGGAGGTGAGTGAGCCTCTTTAATCAAAAATAAAAATGCCCACATTTAGTTTGATAAGTAAGAAGAATATTAAATAGTAACCCATAAAGTACTTTAAAGAGCAAAACAAGCAAGTATGATAAATACTTAAATAACAATTTATTGTTAGTTTTCTACCTATATTTTTAAAGAGGATAAATATTTATTAGGGAGCAGTTGAATTAAAAAATAGGGTCTCATGCTTGCTTTTGTCTCCAGCAGCTCAGCAGACCCTCTGCCTCCCTTTGCTGAATGTCACACTCAACCCTGATACTTAAACTTCAGCACATGAGTGCTGACATTCTGCAACAGAAATTTTGTTTCAGCTTTTCAACCTGAATCCAAACACATGCTAATGCATCAGATGTGGAGGCAGGAAAACGGTTCATTTTTGTCTCTGGGGATAAAGTCCCACAGCTCACTCCCCAGTGTTGCACACCTCTTCCATCCAGTGTTGCAGAAGAGGAAGCAAGCGTGTTCCAGACAATGCCCTGTGATGAGGGTCAAGTCGAAAGAGGAAGACAGTTTTGGAGTATCTACTATGTGCCAAGCCCTTTGCACATTTTGATAGGGTGAAATGGAAGATTTTATAGTCACATTTACCAAGGAAAGATTTTCACAGGGAACCCATACAGTGACATGAGTGTGAGAAGAAGAAAGACAGTAACATCTGTAGGGTGTTAAGGGAAAAGTTGAGCCTTTGGCGTATCTAGTCTTGGAGTTCACCTGTAC